CCGGACGGCCGCCCTGCACTTCTTCTGCGGGCTCGGCACCAAGACCTGGTTCACCAACATCGGCGTCCGCCCGGAGCACGTCACCGAGATGGACTGGTGGGACGAGCTCGAGATCGGCGTCCTCGACGTCGGCACCGTCAAGCTCGTCTGCACGCCCGCCCAGCACGGCAGCCGCCGCAGCGCCTGGGACCGTGGCTCCATGCTCTGGTGCGGCTTCATCATCGAGGAGGTCGGCCTAGCCGAGAACAAGCGCATCTACTTCGCCGGCGACACCGGCTACCGCTCCATCACCGAGGAGGACATCGCGGCGGGCAAGGACATAGACGACCTCCCGCGGTGTCCCGCCTTCGCCCAGATCGGCGAGCGGTACGGGCCCTTCGACCTCTCCCTGCTGCCCATCGGGTGCTACACGCCCCGGACGTTCCTGTCGGGCGTGCACTGCGCGCCCGAGGACTCCATCGAGATCCACGTCGACATCAGGAGCAAGAAGAGCCTGGGCATGCACTACGGCACCGTGAGGGGGGGGCTGAGCGCCCAGTACGAGGACGTCCGCGAGCCGCCCAGGAGGTGGAGGGAGGCGTGCGAGAAGCGAGGGTTGACGTGGAATGACGAGATTACGGTCTGCGATATTGGGGAAACTGTATTTGTTGAATAGATGGCGTTGCTTTAGAATTTTTTTCTCTATTTCTATGTATCTCTTTCGTTTTTTTTTTTTTTTCTTTTTTCTTTTTTTCGTTTTTTTCAAACCCAAGCGCTCTGGGGAGCAGCGAGGAAAGATGATAAACGAGATAGATGGGGGAAGGAGACGGGGATAGACTCAAAGGAGGAACAATCCCAATCATCACAGTCGGCAAAGACAACTTTCCCAAAGGACATTCCCAGGACCTATTCATCTCAATCACAACCAAAACAAGGGAGAGACAGCTGTTTGCGTGCTCCCGAGCAAGTAAACAATGAACCCCTTCCTAGGTGGTTCCCTGGCGCCCGTCACTGGAAAAGGCCGCATCACCATTGTCGTCGTCAGCATTCCGGCCAGCAAAGATAATCCCTCAGCTGCTTTGGGGAATCCACAGCTCTGGGTCGTTGGTCGTATGCGGAGAACCCCAAAGTCCGCTGCCGAGACTGCCGGAGAGCGTCTGTTATGGCTGTTGAGGATATCCACATGCCGCTTGTTGCGGATGTGCCGGTGTTGTGCACCTCCCCATGTTTCTGGGGTGATTGACGCGAAAGACATGAATTTCATATTCGGGACGTATTGAAAATATAGCCCGGGCCAATTTGGATTTGTGATGCTGGATGGTTTTCCTGGTTTGGGCTGGCATCTTTTTCGCGGGTTGGGATCACGGCTTGATATGATGCTTACATGGATGCTGGGCTCCGCCGACTGCCTCTGATAAGGATAGGGGTATCATGTTCAAGGTCAAGCTCAAGCCGGGGAAGATGAACCAACTTCTGTATTCGTCGCCTGATGTTGAAGTTGAATCTTGCATTTTTGTCTTTTTTTTTCTCATCAGATCCTTTTTTTTCGTTTGCTTATAAAGCGGTTTATTTGATTTGCTGGGTCTCAGGAGTTTGAGCCACTCAAGGTGTTTGGTCGGATCATCTTCGTCTTCTCGAAGAAAGTGAGAGGGAGCTGGGGTGGATTCAACTATTGGGTAGGGGATGGGGAATTTCCCATCCCTTGGAGACGGTGGTTGATGAGAACATTGGCAGTACTAGACAGAGCCAGAGAGTCAAAGGAACTTCGAAGAAGGAAGCGCCCGAGACGTTATGGGTCCTAGACGGATAGAGCCATAGAGAGTATAAATGGGGTACTAAAGAAGATATGTGATTGCCTATACAAGCCATTGGTCGAATTCAAGAGTTTGAATCTCCGTCCTGCCTGGGGCGTATAGGAACGACACCCTGAAGAACTAAATATCCGTCTCTTGAGGGTTGGTTCTCGAGTGAGGTTGATCCTGATGTCGAGACTGAGATGGTGAATGCGCACCCTGCTTAGCACGAGGCTAGTCCTGGATCATTGCCAGACAGTTGAGCCTTCGAAGAAGTTCTTGATACTTGATGGAGGCTGATACTGTTGGGAACCAAAAGCGGGCAATACATTTTTTAGTAATAAAGGACGTGCGCGACGAAACTTTGCATGATGAGAATGAAGGACCCATTTGACAGTTGGTAGATCTAATAGAGAGTATCAAGGAGAATGGGATGGACGTCCGAGTCTAGAAATGCGACAGATATCTCTCAGCACCTTGATGATGTTCGGTTGTAGGTGGGTCACGTTCACCGTCAATCCTTCTAACGCAACCACGAGCATTATGCGAGACATGCCATTCTCCTTCCAGTAGACCGTCTCTTCTTTTAGTGCCGTATTAATAATAGAAATGGTTGATCGCCATGCAACATCATCCGCCTTGTGGGGATCAGGCAGCTACTTCAAGAACCAAACGACAAGGTTTAAACCCGTCCTCGAAAGCTTTATTTGGTCTAAATCTATGTGATCGCCGGTGGAGAGAGTGAACCCCTCTCCCTCTTCGGGAGAGGTGGATATGCAATTTCGTTTGTTCTGTGGCGGTGCTAATTGCTGACACAAGGCGTATTTCTGCCTTTATGCCTACTGCTGCTAAGCTCAAGCGATCTGATGGAACGGTAGCACCAAGGTTCTTTGCAGGGCTTTTTTTCCTGCCCGGCTAGGTGCGTTTCGAATGTCATTCCCGTCACCCACCGTATTGATCGTGTTGGAGGCCGACAGCTTCTTCTGTTGATGATACCACATGTCGGAATGTGGCAGCACTCGGACCACCAGTTGAAAACCCCGCATCGGAGTGGGTGGCTACTTAGGCACTCAAGTCTACCTTACCTAGCTCAGGATAAGGATGCTTGGACGGACGATGGTCAACTAGTCAGGTTGTTGGGACGCAATACGATGACAAGCGAGTGCAGGCCAGCCGGTGAGGACAGGGGATTCGGACAGCGAGTGACGAGTCGGCTTTGGGAGGACTGAGTCGGGCATGGCGAGCGAGGAGCCTCACCAGAATCAAAGAATATCACCGGCGATCACTGCTTCTAGGCCACACCTGTGATAGCACCCTGCAGCGACTCTGAGACGCCCCGCATGGACGATGGCTCTAGATTCCATGGCCCGCCCACACCATCGTACTATCAGCATTAGACTTATCCCACCCCTTCCCTTCGATGCTCGCCTTTTTTCAGCTGCTGGCAGACGGAACCAATGAGAGGCAGGGTGAGCCCAAGGGGAGACCCTCTTGGGCGCCACGTGAACCAGGCTACGTGCTTTCAGCTGGGCTGTGAGGGAAGGCCAGTGCTAGGTATTTAAAAGAGATTCTGCGGCCAGAGTTTGCAGAGACGGCTTGCTGCCTCCATCCGCATCTCTCCTCTCACGCCCTCGCTGTGTCTTGCGCCAGTCGCGTGCCCTCCATTCCAGCGTCCCCTTGCCCTGAACCTTGGCGCCCGAGCCCCTGACACTATGGCGTACCAACAGCCGCCTGGGCAGTTCTACCCCCCTCCGCCCACTGGTCCCCCGCCCGGACAGCAGCAGCAGCCGCCACAGTATGGGCAGCATCCGCAGCAGCAGCAGCCCTCGCCACATCCCGGATACCACCCGCAGATGTCACCGCCACCGGGCCAGCCACAGCAGCAGCATCCAGGACTCCAGCAGAAGCCCGGGCAGCACCCTCAGCAACATCCTCAGCAGCAGCACCCCGGCTACCCTCCCCAGCAGCAGCAGCAGCTCCAGCACCCTCCTCAACAGCAGGCGGCCGTCTCGCCCACCGACAATGGCGCATTCCCCGGCGGCACCTACAGCATCAACCACCGCGACACCAACGCCGTCCTCTCCCTGACCCTCCAGCAGGGCGCCTCGGTCAAGTCCAAGTCGGGCGCCATGATCCACATGTCCAGCACCATCCAGCTGCAGGGCAAGATCAAGTTCTCCATGAAGAAGCTCATCACCGGCGGCGAGCTGTCCGAGTCCACCTACGTCGGGCCCGGCCGCGTCGCCGTCGGCCCGACCCTGTTCGGCGACATCATCACCCTGCACGTCGACGGCCGCACCAACTGGACCATCGGCAAGGACTCCTTCCTCGCCTCCACCAGCGAGGTCAAGAGGGAGACCAAGGCCCAGGGCATCAGCAAGGCCCTCTTCTCCGGCGAGGACCTGTTCGTCTACCGGCTTACGGGGCAGGGTATCATCTGGCTGACCAGTTTCGGCGCCGTGGATCGTCTCGATGTGAGTTTTTTTTCCCTCTCGCCGCTTAAGCGATTTCAATTTCCTTGGAAGATTTTCATGTTTGGCTGACTTGTTTTCTTAGCTTCAACCTGGTGAGCAGCATATCGTGGACAACGGGCACCTTGTGGCCTGGAGCTGTCAGTATGCCATTGAGAGAGCCGGCGGAGGCGGCGGCAGCGCCCTGAACAGTTTGAAGTCCGGCGAGGGTCTCGTCTGTCGGTTCACCGGCCCTGGGTCCATCTACATCCAGACCCGCAACAGGTCCGAGTTCGAGTCCTTCATTAAGGGCTTCGCCGGAGGTGGCGGCGGCGGCGGCATTCTGGGTGCTTTGTAAGGGTTGAGGAGATGGGAAAATGGAAACCAAAAAAATTGGCAAAATTCACGAAATGACGGGACGCTTTTGTATCTTATGAAGGGCAACGAAACTGCGTAGCAGGCGTGTGGACTAGCGCTCACGAGGTTATTCATATTGTATTCTCTATAGAGGCTTGGTGTCTTTCTCACCTTTCGATGTTAAATTTGGCGTTGTGACAACTTGACCTTTTCGGAACTCGATTTGGAATTTCGAAATACATTTTCATTGGAAATTGTTGATAGTATCCTGTATTGGTCGGTACCTAGGATTGCCTGCTAACTTTCGAAAACCTGGATGAAAGGTTTAGAAATTAACCAATAGACAAGAGCCTAGATATCGTGAAAACTAAATATTTGAATCTATGATATATATTGCTCTATGATCACCAGCATTGAGAATCTAGCCAGATAGGTCCTCTTCACCAACTAGAACCTCAGGGAACGTCGTGTTGAGGCCTCGAAGCGGCTCCGTTTTGCCATTCAACACCAGCTCTGCAAATCCCTGGATAAAGGCCAGAGCAATCTCCTGCAACCGGGCACCCTTGATCGTTCCACCCAGCTGTTCCAGCACCTCGTCATATTCTGCAGGTAGCGGGCGCACACCGAACAGGTAGGGCAGGTCGAAGAATGATAGATGCGTCGACCCCTTGATACTAACCTGCATTTTCGGACCCGTGAACCTTTGGTAGTAGGGCGCCCACAATGCATCGTTTGCTTCGCTCCCTACTATAACAAAGGGCCTGTCAGAGCCGGTCTTAGCGCTTTTGGCCCATGGACGCCCGTCGAGATCGAGCCCGCCCAAAACGCGATTATCAAGCAATGCTGCTTCCGCGGCGGTTGCTCCTCCCATTGAGTGGCCGTAGGCAAATATTTTGTTCAGGTCGCTGCTCTCGATGAGTTCAGCCGGCAATGAGGCCCCGGGGGCTGAGCCTTGCAGCACATTGACGAGAAAAGACACGTCCGCAGCTCGTACCTATTGATAGTCAGTGAGTGGACAATGTTCTGGCGAGGACTCTCTAAGGGTATTTTGCAAACCTCGGTAGCGGCATCAGCCTCTGCGTCGGTTGGGCTGAATGGAACAACACCTTGTACGGATGTTCCGTCGGGAAACTCAACAAAGAAGCCATCATAGGGGTGATCCACGGTGATGACAACATATCCCAAACTGGCGAGCGCCCTGGCTTGAACTGTGTATACGAGTCTCGAAGAGGTCAACCCCGGGGAGAAGATTGCTACTGGATATTTCTTAGGTGCTGGTTTGGAAGTTTGGCAGTATTCGACCTGAAAATCCTCCACGATATTGGTTGGCAAGCCCATCTGAGCCGCATATTGTCCCCAAGCTGCCGTTGACTTGGGGGGCATGTAGGGAAGCTGCGTAGATTGGCAATCCTGGCACTTTGACACTGGAACAAAAGTTGACACCATGATTCGTCGGTTGTGAGTGTTATTCGAAGGTGCGTACGGGTCCTGGCGGGAGGTATCGGTCAAACTATGAACTTGATTGGATACCGAGTACGGCCCGGGAGGTCCGGGAAGGAGCACAGCGTGCAGCTGCACGACAAAGAGGGCGAGGAGAAGGGACCGCATGGTTCAGACGATTCGAATTAGTGATGGGAGAGAGTTACGAAACTAAGAATCGTAATTCAATAGGAGCAGTGCCTCTTATAGCCTTCATGAGCATCATTACTAAAAGTGAAACTTAACAATATGACTGTTTAGTGTTTACCAATTCGGTAGGTTCCCGCGAGGTCCCCCGGTCAGCTCATTTGCATTGCAGATCATCCGGCATTCGGGCTAGAGAGACGTCAAACTCCGACCCGACGACCGCAAAAATCCATATTCCTTTAGATTCGCTGCTGAGATTCATACCGGGAAATACCTAGAAAAATTTTAATATAAAATCTGCATTCAATAGATTATTATAGATACAAGATAGGCTCACTCAAAGTCCCGGAGTGCTGGGGTCGGAGTTGAGCCAAAGGCTTCTACTTGACCCCCTGCGTCATCACTCGCGGATTACAATTGACCGAGAAGCTTTGGCCATAATCCAACCCCAACACGAGATATTTGAAGATCGCGGAGGGCTTAGGGCTCGTAAGCTCATGCCTTACTGATTGGTCCTTGCGTATTGCTATAAAATTGGCCCCTCGTCTGGCTACACGTACAACTGGCGGAAGTGCACTTAGCTCCGATCATGACTGCTTGATCAAACGATTCAGCACTCCCGCATACAATTTCTAGTGTTAGTAGGGGAATATTTCAACTTAGCTGCAAGATCACTGGGCAATCGACGCCTCTGTTGCGACTAGGGATCTCAATCGTGCAGGCATCCTGGTGACATTGTATTCAAGGGGAAATCGAGCCTTTGAAGTGAAGCCTCTCGCGCCGGAAACCGAATCTCCGAAGCGCAAGAAAGAGTTACACTTGGTTTCAAAACTATGAAAATTATATCAAGAGATAGTCGACGTAAAAATAATCTACCTGGTCACCCCCTGCCAAGCATGAGGGTCAACCTGTAAGCCCTACCCGGTATCACATATCGACTAACACCTCTTCATGTTCCAACGGCATCGCAGTTCCGGACATTTACTTCACTGGTACCTCGAGACTAAAACGATGGGCAATGTCAAGGAATAGGCAAGAATTGCTCTCAAATCTTTACAAAAATCAAACCACCTCCTCGGCACGTATCCCATTCTTATGTTGTACCTTCCCCAGACCTAGTCAAGAACCACCACATCCACTAGGAAGTTGCTAAGACAATTTGGCCGGCTACACTATCTGGAAATGGGAGATGGTCAAGTTTTCATCATCTTATAAAGAGTAATTCTTTCGGATAGATTGTTCTGAAAGCTTGAGGAGTAGCATTTTAAGATTGTATGATAGCTCAAGGCAAAAATGCAACACGGGGCCGTAAAACCCTAATAAGTATCACCCGTTGCAGGTAAATAAAGTGAAAAGCGAAGTTTTTAGGGTCAGTTAGCCAAGGTTATCCATATACTAGATAGATGTGGAGAGAAAAGGCCACCTCTCAATGTTAGCACAAACGTCATCAGTTCTCACCATAACAAGGGCGTTTAGGAGATCTATGGTCATTGAACCCGAAGAAATAGCTGTGAGATGTACTGCTCAATAGGTTTCGGAGCCTTTTCTTCACAATCCGTCTCATTCAGCGCCACAACTGATGATCTAGCCCCAGAACATTCAGCTGAGAAGACTATACGTCATGATTTCAGGTGGAGGCTGTATTGTATAAGTGACATGGGCGTGAGGAACAGTAGACTGGGCAAAAACAGGCTTACTTGAATACGAGCAGTGGCTGACCATCATTTCGAAAATCACATAGATACATGCAAAAAATTCCATGTAAAGCTCTCGTTAAGATTAGAAACTTAAGAAGGATGTATACAATCTCCCTGTCTCATTTGTTATCTTATAAACGTAAGTGGTGATATAGTCGCCCGGGATACTTTGATGTTGAGAGTGGTAATTAAAACGCAAAATTAGAGTTGCCATGCCGTGGATTTTTGTTCCGACCATTGTCTCAAAACTCAGGAACATGGCAAGCAATAAAGGGGTGGGTAAAAATTCAGATCATGTCGTCATACCAGCACGTATATTGCAGCTGAGCAATATGTGTAACAACTCTAGGGTCAGCCGGTGAGGCACTCTAGCCCAGCGTATTCTGGGGTTTGTGGTGACACATAAAGGCGTAAGGGACAAGACTCACAGCTCGTATATGCATAGTCTGAAGATGAGATCACAGGGATGGGCTGTCGGGAAAATGCCAAGATTGGGGCTGGAAGGATGGTAAGAAAAGCAGCATATTGACGAAAACCTACGAGTATGTGTGTCTTAATAGAAATAGCCACAGACAATCTAGAACCAAAAAGGGGCTCGGAGGGATAGCTTGGCAAGAAGTTAGTGATAAAACACCAGATTGTTCCGATATCCAATGAGCCAGTCTTCCAACCCGGTGTTACCAAGGGGCGTTTGTTCTGAGCATTTCCCGAAGAGAATGTGACCAGGAATAAATGGACTTTAGTTAATACATACCCAGCCGAACATCTCATACACTCCAATATATATTTATTCATTTCTCTCCTAGTTGGTGTGGTAGTGTGTATGATTTGCCATCATCGGAGTGCGAGCTTTGTTGCACTTTGAGAAACGTAAGGTTCTCAATGAAGCAGCATAACTCACGGCCGAAAGAAAGGGGGATAAGACGACGCATTCTTGAAACTCGTAATGACAATAAATACACCGAGATGGCGCGGCGTGTGACTTGTTCGCGTTACACAAAACTGTCGACTTCGGAAATACTCCCCCACCCCTGCATAAAACCTGGCACTTGTGTATGCGCCATCAGATTGAAGATCTACGCTTATGAGAGCTTTCTGGGAATTCATAGACACCGGGCAATAAGCCTCGGAGCCACCGGGCTCGGCATAGTGTGAAAAAGGGTTCGAGCAGCAGCCGCGCGTGTTCAGGTTGATCAACCATGCCCATGGACCCGACTTTACGAGAACGCGGCAATGGGCCCAAAGGCTTGGATCTACAGAATACGTGTACGAGGTCTAGGCGTCATGATAGCATATGCATTGCTGTCCACCAACAAGGCACACCCTAGCTGTTGGTCAACAACCACAGCATAGTACCGCATATCAGGAGGGTGCCGAATCTGCATTACGTTTGCAATCAACGGCTGGACGTATCCATGCCGGGACCCGGGAGATTCTGGTGCTGTGATCAGCTTAGTAGAGCGCACTGCATCGTGAGTTTCAAGCCCTTGAATGAGGTACAAGATGAAAGTATTTAAAACTCATTGCTGTGTCTCATTTGCTCCCATATGTGCCGAATAATTGAGCTTTCCAGCAGTCACCGACCAAGACCCGAATTGCATTTACCATCGAAGTCTGTTCCACCTTTGGGGAGATGGGTAGTCGATCATTTCCTTGGATACCAAGTCCAAGGTCTAGCCCGGGAAACCTAGGTCGAGGTTCCCATCAAAATAGAACCAACGGGTAATGGATGAACAGTTGGAATTTCTAAATGTCTCATTTACAGAAACTGACACAATCTAATAGGATATCCCTGCTCGGAACTCTATTGGCGCCCCTCCTACCAGCATTTCTAACGAACAACCCACTGCCGAATGGGGCCCCATGGAGCCTGTTGAATAGTCACACGAATTACTATGAAGAAAGTCCAAACACAGGAGTAATTAGAGCCTATGACTTCACAATTAGCCGAGGAAAACTTGCTCCTGATGGCGTTCAACGAGAAGTTCTCATGATAAACGGAGGCTTTCCCGGTCCTACAATCGAGGCCAACTGGGGTGATATTATTCAAGTCACTGTACACAACCAGATTGAAGACGAAGGCGTAGCCTTACATTGGCATGGTTTTCTGCAAACTAGCACACCTTGGGAGGACGGCTCCCCAGCCGTCACCCAGTGCCCTATTGCTCCTGGGAAGAGTTACACTTACAAGCTGGACGCCAACCTTTACGGGACAAGCTGGTACCACTCACACTATTCTGCCCAGTATGCTGGAGGTCTGACTGGCCCGATCGTCATCCATGGGCCGCCCAGTATCGAGATCGAGAAGTATGATATTGACATTGGTCCCATCATGCTATCGGACTGGTACCATGCCGAGTATTTCGATTTAGTTGAACAGACCATGGCAAATACTGATTTTGTCCCCGTGTTTGCCGACAACAATCTGATCAATGGAAAGATGAACTTCAACTGCTCTAAATTGCCGCCTCGACACAACAGTACGCCGCCCTGCTTTGACAATGCTGGCATATCGAAGTTTAGGTTCAAGAGGGGGAAGAAGCACCTTCTGCGTTTAATCAATTCTGGCTCGGAGGGCTTGCAGCGTTTCTCAATCGATGGGCACATTCTCAAAGTTGTTTCAAACGATTTCGTCGCCATCAACCCTTACGACACCAAAGTTGTCACTCTAGGCATTGGCCAACGTACAGACGTTGTTGTGACTGCAAACGGAGAGCTCGACGCATATTGGATGCGCAGCAATGTTTCCACAATCTGTGGTCTTAACAACAGCCCAGACGCGGTGGCAGCTATCTACTATGACGACGTAGATGATAAGCTGAAACCAGCGTCGCAAGCATGGAACGTTCCCGATCCAGGGACATGCGCGAACGATGATCTCGCTATTACCACGCCAGTCATGGAGTTGAGGGTTCCAGAACACGATTTGTATCTCGAAATGCCAATCGATCTGTTTGTCAATGGGTCTGGAGTGACGCTTTGGTCTATGGATGGGGTTTCCTTCCGCGGGAACTACAATAGCCCAACATTGTTACTGGCCAATCTTGGGAACTTGACCTTTGAAGAAGAGTGGAATGTGCGAAACTTGAAGGGATCCAAGAGCGTGAGAGTTAATGTGATTAACAATTCAGATATCTCGTAAGCAATGCCCATACCGCCCTCGTCTGATCATGACTAACTTCTTTAGCCACCCAATTCACATGCACGGGTTCAACATGTATATTCTTCACGAAGGCCCTGGAAGATGGGACGGCACCATTATCAACCCACACAACCCTATTCGTCGTGATGTGTATCAGCTACGGCCCAATGGACATCTGGTAATTCAGTTTGATGCTGCCGCTAACCCAGGTATGCATTTAATACCCACTGTTCCCTTAAAGATTGCTCAGTATTACTCACCAGTGCCTTCAACTAGGCGTATGGCCATTTCATTGCCACATTGCATGGCATGTATCTGCAGGCTTTTTCATCCAGTTCCTGACCAACCCCGAAGAAGTTGCGAAGATGAGAATCCCCAACGTTGTTGCTGAGACATGTCGTGAGTGGGCTGAGTGGACGGGAACCAACATTCCAGCCCAAATCGATAGCGGTCTGTGAAAGGAGAAAGCTGGTATGATGGTCACTGTTTAAGATTGCGTGATGATGGAAGATGCAAGTGACTAGATAGAATCGGTGTGTTCAAACATCGAGAAGGTTGTTTATTGGAGGCTTGTGAATTAGATTAGTCCCCCGGAGAACTTCTATCGTTCACTATACTTCATATTCTGCTCAAGCTAATGGAGAGAGCATAATGTCCTGTTACATTTCATAGAGTTTGGAGACCACTACTTAAGGCGGCTCCTCCAGACGTGTCTGTCCTTACTCCTCCTTCAGGGCTTACTCTTCTCCTTCTTGCCTCTTGCTGTTACAAAATCTGCAGCAGCACCTGCGGCGCCACCCGCAGCTGCCCCAGCAGCAGTGAAAACACTCGTGACGCCTGAAACTCCATAACCGCCCATCGCAGCACTCTGGGCTGTGCTGAATGCAGTGCCAGCCCCCCCGGCCCACCCGGCAGACTGCAAACCTGCAGCCATTGAACCTTTGATACAATGGTTAGTGTACGAAAGTATTCGAAATAGTAGAGAAGCCATCTTACCAGCTACAGGTCCGATGCCGCTGAAGCCAGCAGCCCCAAGTACCGCAGGCATCACCAGCGGAGCGGCGGCCGCACCTACAACCACACCGGCGGCAGTATAGAACAGCTTAGGATTTTCTTTGAAGGTGTCTTCGGTGTAGTGATATGCACCTTCGATTGATTCCTGTGCGCTGGATGCGGCACCCTCGACTTTGGCTCGCACATCCTGCCAGTCCACACCATCCACGATCTTCGCGGCCTGTTTTGAGGCTTCTGAAACGCCAACTGCGGTTTTGCGGATTTTGTCCTCAGTCCAGGCTCCGCCCTTCTTCTTGAAAACTTCCATGATGGCCCTTGATAGATTGGGCAAAGAACGCATAGACCTTGAGTGCGTCGATGAGACTTTCTTCCTTTCGGTTCGAGAGATAAGTACCTTGTGAGAGGCCTTTGGACTTCTGACGAAATGCCACTACTTTGCCTTGAGTGTTGAGCACGGCGCGCTTTCGGTACGTGTATGTAGGCAGTTTGGATGAGAGGAGGAGAACGCGGTCGGGGCGAAATATCGGTCTTTGTAGGTGCCCAATCAAGGTACGTCGGTCTTCAATGACGTGTTTGTTTATGTTTGTTAAGGCGGCATGAGGATTCACAACACTGATTGGATCAAACCACTCTCCTGTCACTTCACTGCAGGTCAGTGGACTCCTCACTACAAACCGCCTTACTTTAAGTTACTAAACATGAATTATTGTGTTCTAGGGAGAGCTATTTTTCTCCCCTATAAATTAGATACCTTGGAGATATTTACAAGTCACTTGTTTTTGGCAACTCTGAGCCAAATGGCTTGTCCCTGACCGCGTTGAGGTCCCCAAGAGGAGATGATTTTGCATTCATAGGCAGTCTTCTCATCTCCGCGACACTTTCCACCCCCATCCCAATAGTATTCTTAGTGAGACTACAGCATTTCACTTGGCATTTCTTAAGTGTGTCCTTAGGGCACGAGAAGTCACGGATAATCGAAGTGCAGTTCGTCTGGTAGTTGATCAATTCTGACTGGCTCAAAGAAATAAAAACATGGCTATTCTACCTCTACAGTTACACAACTCATGAGGCTCAGGAATGGAGTTGGTGCCATTCCAAGTCCCCGATCCGCCTTGACCCCATCACTCGATGAACGCTGTTTACATTGTGATACTTTCGTAAGTCGTTAATATTGCGGCCGAGATTCGGTGTTCTCAAAAACAAATGCTATTTTCATTTCGAACTCTCCTTCATCTGCCCACAACTTGAGCATGTCCACCATTGGCGCTCCATTACTTGACCGCAGTATCCGCACATCCAAAACTGGGAAACCGCTGGCTCTGGAGGTTTCTGTTGTCTCGCAGGTACTGCTCTTTTGCCAGAACCAGAGGCAGCGCTGGGTTTGGGCCGCGGGCTGTCGTCTGTGAGATCAATGATTTCTGGACTTCTCGCCCTCTTCTCTCCGAGTGCTGATGGTTCCGAAGCAGCGTCGGAGTGGTTATCGGTGGAACGCTTTGTCCCGCACGCATCACAACATAGGAACTCTGGCTGATTAAATAGTGTGCAGATATTGCAAACCCATCCTCCGCCCCAGGTCTTGTTTTGGCGGTGAACGGGTTCACCAGCCTCGACCGCTGGGGTCTGTTTGGTCACAGGTGGACTCGTTGCCGACCGATTATTCGATGTACCTGCTTTGTTTTTGGCCTCGTCCTCTTGAACGAGCTCCCACAACGCTTGGGCAATGGCCACTTCATTTGCCTCGTCCTCCTCTGCCTGTGTGCGGAACCCATTCTTGGTGGCAGTGTCGCCAATGTCGTAGATTTCTTTCTCTGTCAGCCGCTGGGTCCCGCAACCCTCCATGGTCCTCTTTCTTCGCTCTGCAGCAGCAGCGATGACCTGCCTCATGTTACGAACTGGCGCCGCACCACTGCCTCCGAGACGTCTTCCGAACCCGGTTCCTTGACCCTGGGCACGGCGCTTCTCTGCCTGCTGCCGAGCCAGTCGGCGGGCCTCCGTGGGGGACACACTACTGCCCCCGAGCCTTTGGCCTTGGGAGAGGAACCCTTCGCCCGAGTAGCCCTTCATGATCAGGCCCTCCTGCTCCTGGCGCAGCTGATCCCACAGAGCGTGGAATTGCTCATTGTGAGGTCCATGGACGATGTGGCAGAGTTCATGGAGCATGGTATCGACGACAGATTCAAATGGCATGAACTGGTCGCGGTCGCCAGGATATCTCAGGCGCAGACATACTTTCTGCCCCTTATTGACGTTGAGGCCTGGCAAAGCAACGGTGAGTCTTGGGCGTGGGATATGAGGACCACGCTCGGGACTTACCTAGGAGATTTTGTTGCTCTGGATAGAACTCAACGAGTTGCTTAACCTTCCACCCTCGCGCTCTCATTATTGGCTTCACCATGGAAGCCACCTTCTTCAGGGTGTGCAAGGCATTGTCAGCGCGAGGGAAATCGGACAGATGCGAGTAGGATAATACAGCGGGATCATGTTCAGGCATCGTGGTGACTGGCCTCTGTGATGTCTCGATATGTCGGTCTCCTACTCCGGTCGAAAAAGAGGATGAAACAAGCGCTGAGACGAAGAAAAACGAGAAATTACATACGCCGGCCTGCTAAGTTGCCAGACTGCTTTATTTGACATGGGCTAGGAGCTCTGGCTGTGAGCTTGACGGGTTCATTTTTCACCGTGAATTTGTACGTGATGGACGAACAAGGCAGCAACCACCAAGTGCTGATGACGAAGCGGGACACGTGCTGACTGTCCAAGTTAGTGGTCTGGCTACAGCGCTATCAGCTTTTATTAGGTGCTGTCAACTAGCGCAGATTCGGTGTATTGCCACTTCATGTTGACAAATTACTGTCTTATCTTATTCTTGTCGGTTCCTCCATATTCTATCAACACCTGCTGCACAGTGATCATTTCTATTACAATGGGCACCAAGCTTACAGGCTACCTAGAACCGTCCTGCACGCCATCCATATTCCATCAATCTGGTTTCTGAGCTGTAGTGCGGTCAGCATACTGCCCTGTCTGCTATTCGCGAGATCGTACCTCAACAGTGTAAGAAGGCACCAGCTCCTGTATTCCAACAATAACATCATCATCACGGTAACCACCCCGTGTAATTTTCCCCAAAAACATCTTGAGCGCAGACGCCCTGCCTCCCCCTTCGCCTGCAAATCGCACTTCAGACAGTTCCAATGCATTGATGTCGACTTTCCAGTATCCCCAGACTGGACTCTCTACTTGTCCCTGGACGACAAACTGTATGGCAGCAATGCTCATACAACTGTGACGCCAGATTCTGAGGCTTGTCAACTTCTTTCCATCGACCTTCCAAGTCTGCTGATGGTAATGTGGCACCAGGTCGAGTTGTTCTCGAACACTCGATCCCAGCTTACACCCAAGGCAGGTTGCATCCTCGGGAAATCTATCGGGGCCAACAGATTCCTCATCACCATCACTATACTTGAAAGTGATAGCTGTGATGGGGGCTAGGATGGGATCACCGCTGTTGTGAGTCAAGGTTACCCGTACTTCCGTCAACGGCCGACTGCAGTCAATCCTGCTGACAACACTGGCCATTGGCAGCCGGACGCTGGCGTCGTCACGCGAGCCCCATACCGGCCCTGACTTCCTCAGGTTTGACGGCAACATGGAAGGCTCCCAGGTGTAGTTGTTGGAATCCCTTGGGACGGCCGGCAGAGTATCTGTGTCGACGTAACCCAGGTCCACTGAACCGACGGTGCCTATGCTCCGAAGCGATGTATCACTCGGATCATTGCCTGTGGACTGCCAGCAACCATAAAATCCACAGATTTCCAGCTGGGCTTCGTTGTCCATGACATCCAATCGGCCAGAGTCGCCCGACGATCGCCCGACGGCCAATGTGCGACCTCGATTTGTGAGAATAGTCAGAGAGTTGGGCTCATCCTGTAAAGTGGCACAGGCTAGCACAATCCTCTCCCCACCTCTGCCATCGATACTCAAGCTCTTCATGGCTTGATGCCGGGTGCCCACTTTGCGGCTTGCCTGGTGACCGTAGGTAACCTCAATCCCACCAAGGCAAATATCAACTGAGATGGATGTGATATCGGCCAGCTCCTCGTCCGATGTTCCCAGCAATAAAAGGTCCATGGGAGCCTGATCTTTGAACCCAGAAACCCTAAACTCGTCCACCCTGGGTTCAGACAGCCGAACACATGTCGGAGGAAGTTCTCTCCACCACGGATACTCCATTGTAGAAGTGCTGTAATTATCCCTGAGAGTGTCTACGATTCGCGAGCTGTCTTCAGCAAATGACAATGGTTGCTCAATAAGCCCGAGTTGAACCAAGAGGCCATCTTCGCTACGAGACGTTTTGACCGCAACGATGAAGTTATCTTCCTTCACGTAGAAGAGACGTTTATCACCCTCGGACGAACCTAGTCGCACTGGGAGCTGCTTTGCGAAAAGAATGTCAAGGCCAAAAATGCGACGCTTGGTGTGCCCCCATTCAACACCGACCTCGCGAGTGGTGATAATGAAACCTGTAAGCCAATCATCATCAGGAATAGGTACCATGTCCCTTTTATCTTTGGCTATGATCGCATGGAGATCACTTTCCTTTCGTGCATGGAGGTCGACAAGATATCCTTCATCTGTCCAGTCCGCCGTAATGGTGGGCTTTGCATCAGGAAGCTCGTGGAACATGTCGAACAACGTTTCAGTGGTTGGCTTCCAAGGATAATTTCCGGGGCCTCCCCAACCCCTAGCTTCAGGTTCATAAGCATCTCTCAGGACGGGTGGTTCCATTGCACCCCAAGCTAGCAGGTTAGACTGCAGTTCAGTATACGGTTTGAGAAATTTAGGGCACAACTGCTCCCAAATCCTCCGTCTGTTGCATAGCCCAAAAACTTTGTCCTTTGTTTCTGAGGAAGGCAGGCTGGCAAGGTCCAGTTTGTGATAAGCTTGCTTCCAATCGATGGTGGCTATCTCCGAGTCCGTGAATGTCGGCATATCCCAGAGCCACGGCATGTCGTCGTGAAGACGCCTTTTCCAAAACCCATTGCCCAGCTGGATGTTGGCAAAGGCTGGGGATGACTTTCGTAGACCAAAGACCGGGCCCATGTTCGAAAATTGAGACATGATGAGGAGGAGAATATCAGCAGGCAATCTTGCGAATGGATCACCTTTTGTTTGGTATACTTTGACTTCGCCAGTGTTATCTTGGTTCTGGAGAGGGAGGCTGTCGTATAGTTGTTTCAGCCCCTTGACTTGAATCGGGTTAAACACACAATGTTCTCCCCCCCTCTGGACTTCCCAGTACTGCCCCATGTACTCAGATATGTCACCGTAGTCAAGATTGAGGCTGTTTGACCCAGACGACACGTCATCCGGAGCTAATTTCCCAAAAACAGCATGAAGAAGGGTCTTATCCACTTCAGAGACGCCCAAAAAGTGACTGAGAAGCTCACGACAGTGGGTGTGGAAGGGCACAGAGTGAGGCCAGTCGTCGCCCCCCCAATACCTGGAGTGGATATAAGCCTCAACATATTCACTCGTCAATCGTGGACTGTACTTACACAACTGAGTTTCCAGATTCGTCTATATCTAGTAGCGCAGGATCGGGGTTGCTTCCGAGTTCGTAATGGAAAAATCCATTGTCGTCCTCCTGAGCCGGTCCCGAAACCCAGACACTGATCAATCAGATTAGCGACTCGGCCAATTAACTGTGGTTTTGGCATATCCTCACGGGCATTCTGCACTGGTTTCTGGGTTCTCCCCAATAAGTCGGACGTTTTCCAACCAATCCAACTCCGGGTCCTCCTCGTTAGCCAACACAGCAGGATCGTAGGTGTAGCCTCCAGAGTCGGATCCTTCGTCGTCTTCTTCAACAGTCCATGATGGCTTCCGAAGACGCCCGCCGCAAATGGCGCAATAGGTGTCGAAGCCTCCCATTGCGAATCTACCCATGCTTCTGGGTGCGTTCGCGTGGTGAAAGGAAGAAAGAAGCCAAGACTCCTTTAATTATCGCGTTCACCGTATTTGACGATGAAATGAGCCGAGAACCGTGACGGATCAACTCCGGATAAGTCCGCGCAGGTCACTCCAACCTGGTTCGTTGTCTCGTGAAGAGATACAAGTTGTAGGTCCGGTTTCAAGTAGTGGGGAATTCTGAGAGGGATGGATACAATGACTCAAAGCTGCTTCAAAATTGAATTATCTACAAGTCTAGATACCCAGGACGTTGTTAAATATCGTATCGTAACTTCTAGTTCTGCTTGAAGATTCACGAACTGTACAAAGAGGGCGCTAAAACCCGTCGAGATCCGGGTATAAATTCCCATAAATCAATCCTTTCCACCCCTGCTCGCGGCTCCTTCGCTCCTCTTTAGCTTAGTTGCCACTCACCAAAGCGTCTAGGAATCGTGGCAGGTATCGGAATCAAATCCCATCCTTCTAGGCACTCCAAACATAACACCCAACACGGCTCAGCTTTCTCGGGAGAGGCGCCCAGTGCTCACCACTAGGGGCGAAGTGGTCATGGTGAACGTCAACCCATTGATCGTACTCTCGAAGAAAATAGTCCACCTCCTCGACGAACCCGCCTCTGCCTAGTTCATCCTTATAATCCCAGAGCTTAACATCCTCAATTCGGCAAGGAGATTTCCAAACCTCGGGCCACAGCTCAGGGTTGGGCCATACATAGAGCCCTGTGATGGACTCCATGAAAAGCATGACAAGCATGCCGATGTTGATGAGATCGATATTCTCCGAGCCCGTCCTGCCGCGATGCCCATCTTGTTGAATAGCAATGGTTCGGAAGCTGGATAAAATGCTTCTGCACGCAGCGAACTTCTCAGGGTCTCGTGGGAATGTCCGAGCTATTCTGTCGCTTTCAGCTCGTGACATGGCGTCGGCTGTCAAGGGTCTTATGCCTGGCTGAACGTGGCGGCTGTTTGGCATGTGGACATCTATAAGGACCAAGGTATCCTTCTCGGGATTGCATCGCAGTGTGAGGACTTGGACGCCTCGACGCCATTTACCCTCGTAAATACGTATCTCTGTTGGAAATTCACGGTGAAGAGCGGCCCGTGAATTCCGGCACGCAAGGCTTAGGCTAGCCATTTGACGCTGGGCGAAGGGATCCGATATGGAAGCGTACGTTTCTGGCTGAGTGAAGTAGCCATCGGATAGGCAAAAGGTAGCCCATGAACCGTCTCTAGGGCCATGCAGATACGTTGGGCATGTGCCGTGGTGTCCACAGAACTGCCCTGTCCCGGTCCAGCATGAGTGTGACGTTGATCGAAGATGACAATGAAGCTCGACACGGATCTCTCGGTCGCTCTCAGCAACATTGCAAGCAGCGAGCTTCCATATTTTTAGCTGGATCTCCATCGGAAGATTTGGGAAATTTGTGAACGATTTTGCCATTGAGTCTAATCGATTGTTCTTGTCACGTTTGTGTAGTTGTAGGGTTTTCCTGTGCCCAACGAGATCGTTTCCTGGTAAACTCTATTGGGCAGAGAACCCACCCACGTGATTGAAGATTCCAACTGATTATGTATCATTCCTCGTTACGACCTACCTCGTTTTACTTTCTCATTTAGTCTAGAGTCAAGCCTCATAAACTCTCTTGTTCGCTCTTTCGACTACGTTGGACCGAGAGTTGACAATGGGAAGATATCAAGCGCTGCTCTAAAATCGCGACTGCAAATGATGAAAGCTACTCAACATAATCAGATATATTGATCCAGGGAAACTTTGGTGTCAGAAGAAAAGTTACTGCCCAACATAATAAACATTCATAATTTTAGGGTTTGCACTTGATAATAGCTCATCCTGGCAAACGGAATGACAAAAAGATTAATTAATAAAGTAGAAAATAATATTGAAGAGACTCTAACTAAGAAAACTCATCGTCGTTTTATTTGCACCCGCTATCTAAGATAGCTAGTAGGTGGGCAGCCTATCCGTGGAGGGATCAGATGGTCTATGTACCACCAGCACCTGGATCTATATACTCCTAGGATGATAAGATATATATCTCATAATAAGTTAATACCCTTTATATGCAATAAAAAAGTATGGAGCATTGTTCTACCTCTGATGTTAACTTACGCTGAGTTTGTTCAACGGCATCTCATGGTTCACTTCGAAGGCCTTGTAGTAGAAATTATCCTAATGATTTCTGAAAGACCTAACTGCATTTACTCAAGAGTCCATTAAGCCTAATAGTACTACTTAAAGCCAAGATTTTAGCTCCTCTTCAGTCCATGTCCAGAGCTTAGATGCAAGCTCCTGGTCAAGACAGTAACTGGTGTACGACTGAGTAGGAACACCCACAGGCTCATACATTTCCCCCGATACAATCTTCGCTTTAGGGACACCGACTGCCCAAACCTGATTGAGATAGCCCTGATGCTCAGGTAAGAACTTTCTGTAATTAGCGCCGTAGACAACAGCCTTCTGCGTCCATGAGAGGTTGTTGACCAATGAAGTAGCACTCTCTCCAGGATGAATAATGATTGTTGTGATATCGGGATACCGGCGCGCTAATTCACGCCCATACAAAAGATTCGCTAGCTTGCTTTGTGCATAACGCTGGAAGTCGCCGAGGATCCAATATGCTTGTGTAGTTCTGAGTTCATCAAAGACGATGCCACCGCTTTTGGGCGCAAGGACAAATGCAAGACTGGTAAGAATAATGACACGTGCATCGCCCTGTGACTTTGCTGTCTTCTGAAGGGTAGGGAGAAGTTTCTGGATGAGAAGAGCGTGAGCCACATGGTTGATACCGAACTGATACTCGTAGCCATCCTTAGTTAGGCCAGGAGGAGAGGCCATCACACCAGCATTGGCCATCAGCACATCAAGCCGTGTCTCCTGTGACAAGAAGATGTTGGCGGCTTCTCGGACGGAATCAAGGCTGGTGTGGTCACAACGGATGAATTTCGTCTGTGCTTGGCTACCGCTGTCCTTGATTCTCTTGAAAACATCCCGCGCGGCCTCTTCATTTCGTCCAGTGATGTAAATTCTGGAGGGGTTGCGTTTGGCGAGCAGAGCTGCTGCTCCGGCACCGAGTCCGCCGGTTCCTAGAATTGACCAGGCTTAGCTCCTTGTGATTTCACGTATTGGGACTTGCAATGAGAACACTCACCTCCAGTTATGAGCAGAACCTTGCCGGTCAGCTCTGGAACATCTCGCTCCAATTCGAAATCGATATGATACCCCATGTCGTAGGATGATAATCCGCTCTCTCTATGTCGTGCCTGATCTGAAATAAAGAAAAATTAAGGGTCCTACAGGGCACTCCTGGAATTGGCGTTTGAAAAGAGTGAAATTACGGTCAATTTGTCATTGTTTTAAGCGTGCTTTGATTCTCTGCGTTAAAAGTTGCATTGGTCAGCATATTTAAATCGTATGTTCCACTGGGAGGAACACGACTCACGGATTGCTTTTTCAGTTTGACTGATCCCTGCCGCCTCGGACTGTTTGACTGACCGAGCGACACGTATGCTTCCGAGCGTAAGCTGGCAGGCCTTGATAATTCAGGGACTGTGGTAAATCTAATCCATGTCGTGAGCTGGAGCTTGACTATTTCGGGTTGTAGACTGGAAGCTCTGCCCCAGAAAATAAGCAGACATATCGATATTGCCTAAAGGAGGAAAAACATGCGCTCGTCATTTATGCAAGTTGCAACACAGAAATAGTTCCACAGGGCCCCGTAGTGGAGGCCAGGGAGGTTAGGTCAAAGGCAGGATTGTTAGGGTGAGGTGACAGTCAGACTTGTTCACATTGGTGCATCTGTAGATGGAAAGATTCATGATTTTCGTGACTGGATGTTGGGAAGTACCAGCATGAAAGGCTGGTCTTGGCGCATGAAATAGTAACAGAGAAGGCGGCGTTGATTCGTCCTCGAGAAGAGGGGTTTCCGCGATGCTGAAGCAGTGTTACATACTTGACAATCGATGACGATCGAGAGTGCAGTAATCTACAGCAGGTTACATGAATTAGGCATCAATTTACTAAAGGGCTACGCCCAAATGCTGACCTCTAATTATCTCAATTCACTTTGACGCGTTTTCCGCCCTTCAACACCGTTCAAGGCAACAAGATGAAGCGAGTCTTCCAGCGCCGCGAAAGTGATTCAAAAGGAGGCCCCTCAGACAAAGACCCAGAGCCGATCGGACTTGAGCTCTGGTACGAGGGACAAAACGCCAAAGTTGAGTACGTCTTGGCCATATGGTCGGAGCCTCTTCTGGAAAGCTGACAACATTTCAGTATTATCTTCATCCATGGACTCATGGGAAATCGAAACAAGACATGGCAAGCGACAGATAGCAACGGTCTAAAGCTCGATCCTTGGCCTAAAGCTCTGCTTCCCGCAAAGCTCCCTGAATCCCGGATCCTCACGTTCGGTTACGACGCGAAAGTCACAGATACAAAGGAATTCATGGGAAAAGTATCCGAAAAAACACTCCGAGATCATGCCACAGAGCTCATCTATTCGATTTTCCACCAACGCCGAGCCCCGGGGTCTACTGATCGCTCACTTATATTTGTTTGCCATAGTCTTGGGGGTCTCGTTTGTAAAGAGGTGCTGCTCCCTGCAAGGCACGTTCTGCAAAGTTGGACATATTTGCTGATTTCGAAGCAGGGCCTACTGTTTGCAAACCAACGATCTGATTATCGACGCATTTTACAGTCCACTAGAGGCATTATCTTCATGGGAACACCGCATCATGGATCTGAAGCCGCATCATATGCTCAACACCTGACAAACTGGATGAGCAGTATGAAACAGTTCAACACCAAACTGCTTGAAGCTTTAAAGAAAGACTCCGAGATGTTGGAAAATATTCATGATGACTTTTGTTCGCTTATTCGGGAGAAGAGGCAATCGTCGATGGAAAGTGCCCCCGGCATTGTCTGTTTCTTTGAGGAACTCCCGATGCGGGCATTGGGTTGTGTTGTCTCCAAGACGTCGGCGACTATCCCTGGCTTTTCTTGTCGGGGAATCCGTGCAAATCATAAGGGTATGACTAAATTCCCATCGGAAAACGACGCAGGCTTTCAAAGCTTTCTTGAAGAACTATCAAGATTTCTCCCTCTGTCCGCCAGACCGACCAGTACGGATTTGGTAGATGATACGTGTGCATCCAAACAGGATTCTATTCTCGTGGGTAAGAGATTGGACAAAAGCGAAGAATCGTCCGACGAAAGTAAGCCGCACATAGACTACCCAGTCATGTGGAATACGAGTGAGTGGCTAATGTTCTGAAGGCCGAAGTCTTATCCAGCCTGGGCCAAGTACACTGACCACTACAACTCTCGTGACCCCGGTATCGAGTATAATACCCTTCCGCACTGACCTTTCTAGCCTTTCTGATATTCCAAAAGTGACACGACCTACGACTGAACTGACCGATGTGGTTGATGCTGGACATCAAGCCTTTCGCCGAAACTTTGTGTCTACGAGACGAGCTTGCGATGGCTGCCTTTGCTTCCGTACGGTTTCCCGAGCATCGTCCATGGTGAACCTATTTTTCTTGAGATCAAGTGGCGAGAAGGTGGAAATTGCCGAGCACCAGCCAAGTTGCCGATTTCACAATCAGATGAGGACCCTCAAGCGATCCCAGACCGTCGAGTTCCGGGGAAACTGGATTCCACTGAGAATCGCAGTCCATCTCACGACCACAAATTATAGTATCAACCCTTCAATCAAGTGTGTCCAGGTCCTCGGTGAGGACGCTCCCGCTTGGAGACTATACGGGATATCCTCCCTGGCGGTCTCTGTGACTTGTTGGGATGCTCAATATGGACCGGAATTCGTGACACAGTTGGCACGAAATATACTACGATTGCATCGCGAAGGACACGCTTCTATATCTGATGTATGCCTAAATGGACTTACCAGCCTCGATAAGATCATGAGCATATTCTTTGTATGTGTTATACTTTTCCGTTGTAGTTGTATTCATGATTTGACTAACTTTACAATATGATATGATTTTCCATTGGCCCATGCTAATAAGCGAAGACCGCTTTACCGTATTGAGCATACTCATGAACCTCTTGAATGAACTTCGGTTTCTTGGGACGGTGTCCAGCTTAAGTCAACCGTAAGTATAGCGGAGTAAAAGACCAGATGGTCTCGTTTCAGACCAAGGCTAACAAAGATCAATATCAAAACTAGCTCGACAATTTGGGGTAAAATTCTTTTTATGTTCATGGAACCTTTTGGCCGTTTGAGAGGGATTTATGCAGACCGCATGCGCTCAACTTTGGAAGGGCTGATAAAGAAGTTGACTCTCTTGGGCTGGGATCCAAGCCAGGCATCGTTGGAGAACTCCAACGGGCCATCTAAAGTCTTTTTCGCAGTCCAACACCATTATGAAATTCTCGAAGGTGCGTGCAATATTCCAATGACAATCCCTTCACCTGACCAAAGTGATACAGATCATGTCACAAGTCCCGTAACAGCTGCCATTTCGGCTAGAGATTATGACCAATTACGCGAGGTGCTTCGAAAAGACCCGGCTTGCGCTGCAGAATATGTCGATTCTCTGAGTATTGGTTGTTTAGCTCTTACCATTATATGGCCACGAGGTTTCAAGCTGATGTTGGATGCATTTGCGTCCGCAAACCTGATTGAACGGCAACCATTCACAGTGGCCGAGGCAATAAATCTTGCTCGAGAATACTATTTCGAAAACTGTACACATGCTGAATGCAAACCAGGCGATGATACGCCTGGGGGTCATTATTTTGAGCACAGCATTCTGGGGCCTCTCATTGCGCTGGGGATACCCTGCCGATTTCACCAAACTCTGCTAAAATCTCGATGGGTTGGGCCCCTTTGTTACTTTATCGAGAGTCTGTTCTTCAACACCGTGAAATTACAACGAGAAGCGCTAAAAGCTCTGGCTTTAAAGCATTTAAGCCAGCGGGACATTATCAGATACGACCTGTTGAAAGACTCCATACTGGATGCACAGGCTGGGGCAGTCACAGCGAAACTACATGAACTGGGTGTCCCCGTCTCAGAGGTCTTATATGTTCCTTTGGACTACCAATCAGTTCATCGTAACTTGAGAACTCAGCCGAAATATCGGGATTGTTTGGAATATCTATGGCAAATGGGATTTCGCGATATCGATAGTGTGAGCATGAGCGGCGCTTGCCTACCTCACATTGATATAAGTTTCGCGTCAGTGTCATGGTATATTCGTCACGGCGTTGATTTGAACATGTCGGAAAACATACTGCAAGTTGATGAGTTTTCAGATACTAACACCATCTTGTCATCACACATAACTTCATGGAAGCTAGCAGCAGTTTTCTGTTCTTCACGCTGCAACCTTAACCCGGAAGCAGTAGATGTTCTACGGGAAATATGTGGTTGGACAGCTTTGGATTCTTGCCGATGCCAATGTTCACCGTTGGGGTGCTCCTCATTCAAAGTGTTCTTTCATCATGTTGCCTCCATAATTCGGTTGAATCATGGTAAAAATGCAAGCAAAAAGAGATGGCCATTCCTTCCTTCCTTGAACGAAATCTTCAACACACAAAGATTGCAAATAATTCGTCTCATGACCTTTCAGGAATTGGATATTCCTCATACGTGTTGTACCAAGGACAAGATGTGGTTTTCAAGTGTCGATTTGGATGAGGCGGAAGAGATTAATGAAGAATATGGGCTTTTGATCGACCAGCTCAACTCTCTGATGGATCAATTTGAAGACGTGATGGAACAGGAAAGCTATCCGATAGGGGATTTCATCAATAACCATTGGGCCCAGAAGATGGAAGAGGTCAAAAGAAGTCAGGCCGATATTGTCTTGACTGGCGCAGAGCTTGATGCTGCAAGGGAGATTGGCGTTACTTGGTCCCCGGTACCTGCCGAGGAAACTGATGTTTTAACTACGGAAGTGTCTATGAACAAAAAGCTTCAGTGGTGGCTGAATCAAATGGATAGTTTGTAGGAAGAGAATCCCAGTTTATGCCAATCCAAACCACCATTGATTAGCTATAGACTTAATTCAAGTTATAAGTCTAGGCCAGGATTTTCAATGACAGTGTTTCAGCGTTGGATACACAATGAATCTTATAAATGTGAGGTGAGAAACAAGGAAAGCCAGGCATGCAGAATCTGGGTTAGTCACTCTAAACGGACTCTTCAAAAGAAATTCTGTATTAAGCCAACTTAAGTTGTTTAGTTCAGTTGCAAGGTCTACATTGGAACGAGCGACCTTCTAAGGCATCACCCCCTCAAAGGACATAAACTTGGAGTAGGGCCTAGTTTAAACCCCAATCCTTTAAATAGAGAAATTATGGGAACTAGGAATATTGTGTTTCATGATTGCTACTGGATCCAGCAATAAGATATCTTCAAATGTGGTCGTTTGGCTGAATAGCGCTGGCGATGTGACCATGAGAGGACGGCAGCATCTAGTTATGACTCGGTTGAGCCCTGATATATCAGGGGAGGATGAATGTTCAATGATATCATGAATCTAGCTGTAATGGAAATAGCAGGGTGGCGTTGGCAGTTTAAAATTAGAAAACTAGAGCCAACTGTCACGGTTGGTGACCATCTAGTGCAGATCTAGCCTTCCTAGTTGAGGGCCGGATCCTTGCCGGCAACCCCAGATCGGGTATGCAGAAAAGCTTTGACCTCGACGACTTAACTTTGACCGCTTATGCACGATCCCTTTCTCGGGAGGTGGATTTCCCTTAACGCCGTCTTTCTGGGGAAATCTCGATCTGAAAGGTATTAAGTGCAGCCCAAAGACTCTGCTGATGCCTTCAAATACATCGTATCGGGCTCTCCATCTTTGAAATCCGGTTTTAAGAGAGGCATAATGACGCCGACAGCTGGTGTGCATGTTGGCTAATATAGATTCAGTTGTTATAATGGCATACATGAAGAAAGCATCTGGCCAAGTGTGGATCTGATATCTGAGCATGATCCTCAGTTACGGGAGCCACGTATAGAATACAAGTCACGCCCATGAGGTGACGCTGCATTGCGTTTCAACAGCTACAGGCTTATGCCAATTCCGCAATGCGTGCTATCACTGTGCATCAGCCTTATGCCTATTTGAGCAAGTGAAGCCCGCCCTCTCATCCAGGACGATGATGTCTGTCTTCTCCCTTCTTCATAGAACCTCTTTAACATTATTGTAAAATGACCACGATGGACAGACTAAAGAAAACACTACGGCGAGCGCCTTGCTGCTGTTGCTGTAAGCCTGAGATAATAGAAGAAGCTCCTCGGAGTGAAATCCCGCAACAGGATGGACACAGCCAATCAACCATCGACCGCCGAGTGTCGTCCGGATTATCGGACCCGGAAAAGGTGCCCCCGTATCGCCACTCCTTATCCTCCTTCTTTCCCTTGAGACGCAGGTCTCGCTACTCTAAACGGGATTCATGGTCTACAACAGCAAGTCAATTCGAGCACCCGGCGGTGCGACCCTTGAGCTCGGTTCTGAGGCCGCGCACTCCCGGACAGCGACCCCCCTTATACTCCCAAGGCTCCTGGAGCACTGAATCGCTGACAATTGAGGATGAGAAACTCGCCGACTTCTTCGAGAGAATGCCGCTCAGCGAACCGGTAGAGCCTACAGTAATCCCGAACAAGCCAATGTCGCCCGAGCACGAGATACGCGCAAGCCTTCTCTTACTGACCGAAGGCACTCCTTTGAGGAGGACTCGCGGTACCGAAATGGCTGGGTTCGAACCGGAGGAAAAGGCACAGAGGAAATGGGCCGTCCTCCATGAGAATCTCAAGACCGACATCCACTGCGTGTGCAGGTCTCGGCCTCTATCAGGATGCTCAATCAGCACATACCGTGAATCCGTGTACCACCCTCGGCCGATTGTTAGGGCTGAGATCTCCATCGGGCTGACCTGAGACGGATTCAGGGGAACCGCCATAATCGGAATTGATCAGCCAATGAGCAGAGATGAACGTGAGACAAGATGACGGGAATGACAATTAATGTGACAGCTGCATGCTTTACAAATTGACGACGGACACTGCATTTACTGAGAAATTAACTATCTAATCAATACTACCACTGCTGAAATTTGCGAGAACCTGATAGTGAAAATGTGACTGCACAGATGAGGGAAAGCATTTCCGCCAGCCGACGGTCCATCAGTATGCGGCTTCAGCCGAGGCAAACGCCAATTTGTTGCACATTTGATCCCAACGACGTAATGACATGATCTAGCGTAGGGCTATCGCCGGCTGGTGAAGGCACTCAGGTTCGTTCCGCGCCCAGGGAGTCATCGTCAGCAGCGTGCCCGGGACGCGAGGCGTACTTTGGTCGGGCCAAGGCGTCTCGTGAAGCCCTCGCACTTGTGTGAAGAAAACGAAGGCCCATCAGGTGATGGATGGATTGGGCATCGCTGCCTGTTGCAGGGATGCGGACAAGGAGTGTAGGGGTCGTAGGCAGGAAACGGGGCGCGCCTGGTTTGGCGGGACAATAGGGCTGTGAGGTGATATCGGCTTACTAGAACCGGGAGGCATTCCCCCCACGCCATGCAGAATCGTGCAGGCCATTGAGAGATGGCTCCATAAACAGGCTAGCAGTTCCAAGGAATCTTCAACACTGGAGCCAATCGCGTCCCGTACCACGGGACTGATAGTCTGGGTCCCAGATGCAACCATGATGCAGAGCCACACTACGCTGAACTTCGGTAAACTAGTTGGCCCTAGCAGACGAACTATGGTTAATTGACGGCTCTGATTGCTCCGGGATATGCGGGCTCATGCGGAACTTTCTCTTCTTGAACAAACCTGCGAGCCTCACAGCTGAGATTCTGGCACGAGATTGACCCATGGCGAGCTGATTGGGCGCCGTATCTCACTCGTGTGAAGGACTAAGGCCGGTTTCTTCCCTATTGCGATTTAGCTGGCACAGGTGGGCGCAGTAGGGACCCATCTATTCCAAGAAAGATGTGTTCGCATTTGCGCTCGTTCGCTTTTGCGTCGAGCCTGATGCACATGACCTTGACTCATTCGAACGGCTTGGAGCGGAATCCGGGAACATGGGCCAATTTGGATGCCTGACGTGCGGCTCTTGTCTCTTGTATCGTATTCCGACACCTTGGCACCGGGCTGCTGCGACGAACTGCTGTGTATATATATCTCGTCTCTACCCTCCCATGAACTGCCAGTTTGTAGATCAGACAACACTCAATAAACACAAGCTACTCCTTCATCTATAACTCTAATCCATCTGAACTACCCCTTTCAATACTCTAAAGAAACGCCCAATATGACGTCCCTCGCGGTGGTGGAACCAACCCTCCAAGCCCAAAGAGAATCCTTCTCTCTCCCAATCCACGATGCCACCTACCTCCTTGTCCGAGGCTCTGTTGCCCTGGTACTTGGAGTAATTCTCTTCATGAACATCCACGGCGACTCCAAAGTCTCCAGCATTCCCCTGATCAACCAGGCCAAGGGCCTCGATATCGCCAACTGGGGCTGGCGGTGGCGCTTCGCCTTCTACGCTGAAGAGCTGCTCCAAAAGGGCATGGCTCTTTACAAAGACAGGCCCTTCAAGCTCATGACAGACTCTGGAGAGATCATTGTCCTTCCATCGAACCTCGTCAGCACCATTGGCAGTGAAGACAGGCTCTTGCTGCGAGAGTCTGTCGCCGAAGACTTCCACGCCCACCTCCCCGGCTTTGAAGTATTTGCGGCTGCCGCACGCTACGACCAGCTGGGCCAGAGCGTCGTCCGAAAAAGGCTCACCAGATCACTGAGTAAGTGTTGCCCTATTGATTCACTATACCAAGGGGTGTAGTCGCTAACCTTGACGTGGCACAGACAAAATTACCGAGCCGCTGTCGCAAGAAGTAAGCTTTGCCACCGAGCTGCGTCTGGGGAACGGTAAAGGTATGCGAGCTATTCTTAACTCCTTCTTGATAGATCCTCTAACGCTAACTATAATAGAATGGAAAAAGGTTTACATCTACAAAGAGATCCTCGACATCGTGGCTCGCAGCTCATCGCGAGTCTTCCTCGGTCCCGACATCTGCCGCAACGAAGACTGGCTCGATATTACAAAGCGCTACACTTCTGAGGCCTTCATTGGTTCAGCCATTCTGCGCGCATTTCCCAACTGGTTCCGCAACGTCGCTCACTGGGTCATCCCGCAGTGCCGCAACTTGCGATGGATGGCCCCTAGAGCCAGAGAGATCATCACTCCCTTTATCGAGGAGAGGAGACGACTCCGGGCTGAGAGCCTTGCCAAGGGAGAGACCCCAGCAGCCTTTGATGATGCCATCGACTGGTTTGAAGACGAGAGCAACGGTGCACCATATGATGCTGCCATTGCTCAGCTTGGACTGTCCATGGCTGCTATCCACACCACCTCAGACCTGCTCACTGAGACTCTGCTTCGACTTGCCAGAAGGCCTGAGCTTGTTGAGGAATTGAGGTCGGAAGTCATCCAAGAGCTCCGAAAAGATGGATGGAAGAAGACAGCGCTCTACAATATGAAACTGCTTGACAGTGTCATCAAGGAGTCCCAAAGACTGAGACCCATTTCAATGGGTAAGCAATCCAACCCCTTCCTCAATCACCAAGAAGTATATACTAACTCGGATAAAATAGTTTCAATGGTTCGAAAAGCAGTCGAGGATGTCCCCCTTCCCACCGGTGAAGTCATCCCCAAGGGCCACCGCACAGTTGTCCTCACAGACCAGCACCGCAGCGCGGAACTCTTCACCAACCCAGATGTCTTTGATGGTCACCGGTTCGTCAGACAGCGTGCCTGTCCTGAGACTGAGAACACCGCACACTTCGTCTCCACCACCTCCTCAAGCCTTGGCTTCGGCCATGGCAAGCACGCCTGCCCCGGCCGCTTCTTCGCCGCGAACGAGCTCAAGGTCATCCTGTGCCATCTCCTTGTCAAGTATGACTGGAAGGTGGCGCCCAATGCCCCAGCCGAGCCCGAGCCTCTCAAGTACTCGTTTGCTCTGCAGGCCGACCCTTGGGCTCAGCTGTACTTGAAACGCCGCGACTGTGACGGCTTGGACATCGACGCCATCTAGGCGTCCGTGTGTTTTGTTGACGTAGGGGGGATGACTTTAAAGATTGATACTACTTAGATTACTGTGTGCAAACACGACACGACCGAGATGATTTGGATATTCATGGTTTTATGAAGCTGTAGCGAGTACCATGAAAGCAGACTAGCAGGCAGATTGTTTATTTTGTCTTTTCTTTGATTTTGAATTATGTTTTTGTCTTTATTTTTCCCTTTGTTAGGATTGGAAGAAGATATCAGATTGCATTAATAAAAATACCATAAAATTTTGGAACTCCCATCAGTAGATTCATAATTCATAAGTGACTGCTTCCAGCCTCGTAAAACCCCCCTCCCCGCGGATCCGGCCGGCTCGCCATCATCCTGGACAGCCGCTCTAGCTGGTACAGGCCCTCCTCGTCCCCCGCGCAGTCCTTGGCCACGTCGAGGGCCGTCTCCCCGCCGCCCGTCCTCGCCCACACGTCGATGCCCGGGTGCGAGATGAGCTGCTCCAGGATCCGCACGTTGCCGTAGTTGGCGCAGACGTGCAGCGCCGTCCAGCCGTACCCGTTGGCGGCGTTGGGGTCGACCTCGGGCATGTCGAGGAGCACCCGCGTCGTCGTGTCCTTGTTGTTGTTGGCCGCGCAGAGGAGGGGCGTCCAGCCCTCCATGTCCTGCGCGTTGACGTTGGGCCGGATGCGCGCCGACAGGATGTGCCTGACCATCCTGAGCCCGCCGCCGCGGGACGCCCACCAGAGGGGGGTCCTGTTGCACGAGTCGGCCACGTTGGGGTCGACGTTGTGGTTCTCCAGGAGGGCCTGGACGGCCTCGAGCTTGTCGCACTTAACCGCCCGCAGCAGAGGCGAGTCCCCCCCGCTCTGGCCGTCCTCGCAGAAGAAGCCCCAGCTCGAGTAGCTCCCCGCCGGCATCTTGCGGTGGACGTAGACGGGCCCGGAGGATATCTCCGAGGTCCGGTTCACGTCGACGCCGCTGTCGTAGAGGAGGGTCTTCATCGCCCACTGGTTCGATGTCTCGACGGCGATGGACAGCGCCGTGCCCCAGATGCCGCTCCAGTTCAGGTCCAGGTCGTCCCTCTTCATGAGGTAGCCGAGCGCGATGTAGTTTTGCTGGTGGGCTGCCATCTGCAGCGGGATGTTGGGCCCCCTGTTATCGCCCAGCCCGGAGTGTCCGGCCAGGTTGACGTCGACGGCGGGACACTGCACGAGGTATTCCACGACTTTCCACTGATAGTTGCTTATTGCGGAGCATAGGATCGTCTGTTTCTGGTCATCGTACGTGTTGGGGTCTGCGCCGTAGCAGTTGATGAGCATTTTGATGACCGACGCTGCTCCCTTGTTTGCTGCGACGTGGAGGAGGGGCTTCCTCAATGCGCAGAGACTCCGCTCGAGCTTGTCCTGGTGTCGGAGGAACACCTTGACGACCTCTGATCTGTCCTCGGCGATGGCCAGATCCAGAGGCGTGATGGAGCCGCTGGCCAGGTTTGGATCTACGCCCGGGTAGTTCAGAAGCGTTTCCACCAAGTGCGCATGGCCATTCTTCACCGCAATGATCAGCGGTGTTCCATCTGCGCTGCCTCTTGAAGGCATCGGGTGTGTACATTTGGCTCGAGGTGCTCCGTAGGGGAGCTCCTCATTCGGGCCAATCTGCCCAATCTCCAGCATGAGTCGAACCATGAGCGACGACCCCCTCACTAAGGCGAGGGCCATAGGACACTGGCCATTATATCGCTTCTCGGTGAGCTTGGTTCTGCTGGCCTTGAGCAGCAGGGCCAGCACCTCCGGCTCGTCGTGCATGACTGCCGTCGTGATGGGGAATTCTCCACGGCCGATGCGGGAGTCGACGTCGGCATCGCCTCTGGCCAGGATGATCTGC